CTGCAGATGGACCTCTGCTGTCTGCCCCACAGTCGCCGGACTTCCGTCGAGCGCCTCAAACCCAGAATATTTTTCTATCTATCTATCCATCCATCCATCCATCTATCTATCTATCTATCTATCTCTCTATCTATCTAATGACAGGCTCGCTTTAGGCGACGCGTGAATTGCAGCGGCCGGTGTTTATTTTATGCGTATTTTAGCAGTGCTTTGTCGTTGTGAAGCCCATTTTTGCGCGACGGAGCAACCGTTCGGTACTGTTTCTTGTCGTTTTCATTCCCTTCCCAGTGGTGTGCCGGTTTCACGTGAGGTCAGTCCATTTCCGAAGTTTGTGCAGGTTTCTGGTTGCGGATGCAAAACAGTAGGGATGCAATGTGTGGTGGTTTGCTGGCGCATTGCTGCATGGTTGATGTGCCGTTATTTTTCTGTGGAGGTTGGGGTGGGGTGGGGGGTCTAAGTGGTGATGTTCGGGGTGATTGGCAGCTACAGGATGTTGCTTTGGTTCAATGGCTTGGGTGTGTACTTACTGTGGGGGGGTCCAAGTGGTGACGTTCGTTGTGACTAGCAGCGACTAGCAAGCGAACGATGCTTCTTCGGGGAAGTTGCCTGGGAACGCAATAATTACGTACTTTTTGGGGTGCGATTTCTATACCTGCAGTACTGTATGTGACACATACCAACCTCTATGTTCCATTCTGTTTATTCATCGGCACTTTTCGCTTTCACTTTGGTGAGCACCTTTTTCATTTTTCTTTGGCGCTTTGGCTCTTCACAGCAGGGGGTGGGTGCGACCGAACCGAACCATGTCTCCGCGCTGAAAGGGAATTCGGCTAATGAGACCCGCGCATGCGCCTGTAAGCAGAAGCTAGCTTTGTATCACTGCCAACCTTCTTCCGTGAGAGCACAGACCGGGTCAACTAACTGTCCAGCCGCTTGCATAGCTGCTGCCTTCCGAATCCGATCCTTTATATAGATCAACATGAGTTCTCGATCCAAGTTCCCAAGTGCTTGTAGGGTGCACACGGAGAGCCGAAACTTCTGTTCTCCTTTGCTAAAGCTGACCGGAAACCGACCACGGCCATGACACTCTCCTCTTTGAACATGGCAATGCTTTGCATCAAGCTGACGACTTGCTCATTAGTCTCAGCTCAAAGATGGCAATGCCCGACATCATCCACAGATGCGCAGAATCGTTGCTTTCACAAGTAAATTTCCTCCACCTGTTAAAGAGATTGGACACAAGAAGTTTCCGGCAATAACGTGCCGACATGGTGCAACGGGCGGGCGATCCAAGCCGAATCCGAGGCATGCGGCCGTGAATGGCGCGCTGAGAACCTGGGCCTTCCTAGCCCGCTTCAAATCGGTTGAAGCATAAATCTTCCATACGGAATACGGGACCGCATTCCAAAATACATGTATCATGTCGTGACCGAATACATCTCAGAAGGATGCCAGAATATGAGAGGATAATTTGACATTCATGTCAGGTGATGACGATACAGAATGCTGCCCTTTCGCTCCCAAGGTGAGATTTGGATACAGTCTCCCTGTCCTATGTGGTTGTCCTTTCAATCCTGAGTTGAGCTGAATTGAGAGCAACTGAAACCTGTAGAGCACCTTGTTGAATTTCTACAGGGATTACTTGGCACCACATTCTTCAAACACCTTTGCTGAGATGCTGGCCTTTGGTGCGCAATCTGCATGGGGCCAACGATCCATTCCACAGATGTCAGACGAAGAGGTGGGACATGTTGGAATGCTGCACCACAGGCGACACATTGTTCCCCTTTCTTCGCACTCCCGTGTTCCCTGTAGACCTAGCAAACTTAGATTCCTTTCTGCAGGGAACGAATTCGGCCTGTAAGATCCTGTAAGGGTAGCACCAGGTTCACAAGTTCTGGTTCTGGTTGCTCCATGCATCTTGGTGCAGTTTTTTCCTCTTCTTATTCCTGTTGTGCGACGGTTTGCATGCTTCAACAGTTCTGACTGGGATACACAGTATGTGTGCTGTTCTTCCACTATTTGTTCATTTTTGCTCCCTTGATTCTTGTGCTCGTGTGGGAAGTCCGACGCGCCTGACACGGAGCAGCGGGCAAATGCAAGCAGTTCAGCCATGAACCAAGCAGTTCAGACATCAGAATTCTTCAAACAACATTCACCTCAGCTCGTGTCACAACTAGATTCTAGATGCAATTCGCTCGAGTTGTTTAGTCCACTGAGGGAAAGGCGAAGCTTTCCACAGAGTCAACAGCCGCAGGCTCGAGAAGCTCTTGCAGGGGGCTGAAGGCTGACAGAGATGGTTTTGGGATGTTTTGGGCGGCTTTGGCAGCTTGGTGTTGCCTTGACTGTGTCAAAACTGCCTCCAAGGCTCGCGGCAACCTGAGAGCCCAGGCAGGACTGTGGTGCGGAAACAACGACCTTCCATGCAATTTGGAACTTGTGAGGCCATGATCTAAGAGAAGATGAGCTGGAGCAGCTGGAGGCATGGTATGGCATCCACCCTAGTAGCGGTGGCCTCCACCCTAGTGGCATGGTTTTATGAAGTTTTATGACTTGCCTGTATAGACCCGGAGAGTTTGTGCGCCAGTCCATGGCACTGCGTGGCCTGCAGGCGCTGGAACGTAGGATGACCATGAAATGGTGTGAACGCAAGTCTTCCGAGACCTGACACTAAAACAAAATAGACAACTTGAAAGGGAACCAAGGCCGTGGCATGGTGTGAAGTTTTGCAATCTGCAGTTGCAGCCCTGCAGGATAACTTATCACACAGAGCCATGCAGAAGTTGTTGTCAAAAGCCCTGGCATCGCCCGGCTCCTGGCAGAGCCTCTCTGGAGTGGCAGTAGAGCGTCCCTGAGTTGTAGATTTGTATCATCCAATGGTCAAAGGGCTTGACATGCCAAGGCCATGAAGTGCAGAATCCAAGGATACTTGGCTGCAAGTATCAATTCTTTGCTTTGCCGTAGGGTCTTGCTGGCCATGGCTGATTGGCATTCGATCTTCGTCCACGCTATCCTTCAAATTGGGTCAGCCGTGAGTTCCCACCTTTAATCAATCTGGGCTGATGTCAATGCGAGGCTAAGTGATTTGTCACTGCACACGTTGCAAGTAGTGATCAGTCAGAGTCCAAAGACCTGAGCCTGTGAAAGACGGCTGTTGCGGGAGTCTGTAGTTTTTTGAATCACGGGAGAGCCTTGACGATTTATCATTAGACCCACCGATCCATCCACTCGTTCCGATTTCGAGCCCCAAACAGGATTGACAGAAGATTTGGAGTTCGTAATTTGCAGCTCCGGAACAAGGTGGGCTATTTCAGTGGTTTGCGCAGCGACCTGCGCGAAGCAGCGGTGCAAATGAGCGCTGCCTAGCTGTGGCAATCAAAGCGGACAGTCGCGTGTGGCGAGTTTTATACGGGAGCAATGCCAGAGTATGTATGGAAGATTTAAAAGGGCAAACGAACAGAGCTCCCAACAGTCACACGTCGCGATGATAGTTGAGAGATCGGTAGATGCCAGAATTTTCTGGCTGTTCTTCTCCCTGACAGATGTCAGAAATTTTGCCTCAAGAGGAGATTGCTGCATGTGTTCTGCTGGATGACAGGGGTCACTGACATAGGACACATCATACACACACACACATCACATACACTCAAAATCCTTCCAGTACTTGACATTACTTGGTCGGTTTGTTTTGGGAGATTTTGAGTGACTCCTTTGGCAGCTGCCATGTAGGGGCAAATCTTCGCAGCTCATTGGAGGCCCACCGATGTCTGAGTCAAGCACGCAGCACAACCAGCTCTACAAAGTCTCTTCAAGCGCACTGGAGTGCAGCGCAGCCAACTGGACAAGTGGGACCGCCACCTCTGTGCAACCTGCCAACCCTGAAGTTACACCATCTCAAATCATCATGCTGACTACCATCATTCTATTGAAGAACTTGCCCATTGATTCACAGAGGACTCAGGTTTGTGCGGACTTGCTCAGCCAATCCAATCTGTTTTTCTCCTGCTCGTGAGCGGGTGAGTGAGTGGATAAGCTCATTGCCAAGTCTTTGTTGTGAGCCTACTTATTCCATTCATTTTGCAAGTAAACCATGTGTTTGCACACAGCATCAGCTGAATCAACTGCTTACTCTGAAAGATGCAAATTCATCCGAGTGTTTGTAGTTCAACGACTTGGCTGCAAAATCTGCTGCACCGCAAGCTACGCACATTTCAAGGTGCGGCGGGCCGACTATTCTGTGCCAATCCCAAGAAGCTTCTTTCACAGCAACCATGGCAAGGCATAGGCATTCTTCAGCCCATAAAACAGTCAAGTTTTTCCAAACAGCTTGCTGATTTTGCTTTGCGGCTTTGGAAGAGGCCTTTTTCAGATCGCCAGATCCCAAAGGTGCTCCATGTGTGTCGGGGGTTCAATGGTTTTTGTTTCTTTTGAAGTGAAATGGGCTGCAAACTGTAGCGAGTCCTTGGAGCCTTGGACGGGCGCAGCACGCGCAACCCGAAGAGCCGTTGCGCAAGCGTTGCGATTTCAGCGCAGCGGCGCAGCTCGCAATGGCGCAATCTTCCTTGTGAAGATAAGACCAGAGCTTCTGGTCGTAGTTTTGATTGCTGGACCGCCAATGGTCAGTGGTGAAAAGTATGAGTTTGTTTGATGGGTGTATATTTAAATATACAATGTTGAACATGCCGCCAATCTTGGCTGGGAATGCGTTATTTTGCTTTTGCAACAGTTTGCGACACTGGGATACATTCCCATTGACCGCTGCAACTCTTGACCAGTTCACAGCTGACAGTTTCTGCAGGCGAGGCAAATTTAAGAATCTCAAAAAGAGTATGCGTTGGAGCGGCGGCTGGGGAGGGCGTTGGTGCTTTCGGAGTCCGGCAAAGCTCTATAGAGTGAAGCCCACATTCAAACTCAACACATCCAGCTGTCCTAGCTCCCGCTACTTTTGTTGCTTCGCTTTCTTTACGCTTCTCTCATGTTTGCGGAGTTTCGCTGCGCAGGATGAACGATGCTACTATGCAGCTGGAAGAGGTCAGCCTGCACATGTCAATTGTTGGTGATGTTATGCATACTTCTGATATCTTTAGTGACTACACAGGTATATAAATCCATGAGCTGGAGTAGATGTCAACCTTGCCTTGTAGTTTGTTTTATGATTCCATGCAGCGCATTTTTAATCTTGTTTCCACCGTTTTCAGGGGATGGACACTCTCATTGAGATTCGTCGGCTAATGAGAGAAGGAAAGGAGGCTAGCTCTTTGATGGCCGTCAGTGTGCTGTAGATCAGCACATTGGTCTTACCAGTGGAGCAGAGAACATTGTCAGCTTGGGGGAACGGATTCGCTCCCGGGGTCCTTGAAGGGCGATCATGTGCAGGCTGAGCTTACTCGCCCAGCGGCTTCTAGCGTGGCTGAAGATGAGCAGACTGGAGAAGGTGACCTTCTTGAGACTCAAGACTACTAGCGATGGCCTCCAACCTACTAGCGATGGCCTCCAACCTAGAACACGTTTTTACACATGTTTTGAATGTTTTATCTCAAAGATGACAATTTTTGATTCCCCGCTTTCAAGGTACAGATCTATATGCCCGCAGCCGCGCAGATCCCAAGGTGCAATCTTGTTTGGAGGAATTGAATCCAAATGCGCTACTACTAGGAACAAAGGGCATCGCTACTGGGAGCAAGGACGCTACTAGGGGCTCCTGGCCTTACTACTAGGAGCAAGGACGCTACTAGGAGCAAAGGGCATCGCGTGCAGTCTGTGTAGCTCGGCTGTGGACGTCAGGCCCACTGCAAACAATACATGCAAATGGGCCACAGAACCATCAGCACACTGTGGAGCATTAGTCGGGAGGCCCCTGGACCAGCAGTGAACCGGTGAACCAGCACTGTTTCAAAGTTAAGAGAAAGAAAGATCAAAGTTTAAAGCACGCCTTTTTGAGAGCATGATTTTTTGCTAGACTGCAGAGAGGCCCCAATGGTGATCATCACCAAGCTGAATGTTCTGCAACAGGCCAAAATCCATTTTGAGCGCCGTTGTAGCTCTCAATCGGCCGGGATCTATATGTATATAACTGATACTCTGCAGTTGATACAGAACGCTCTAAAACTAAGCACAAATCCTTTTCTCATGTTTTCTCCAATGAACTTCGATTGAATTTCAACTTGGAAATTTGAATCTGCAGATGCTCCACAACTGCCTCAACAGCTGCTTGGACCGACTCGTGGGTCCTCGTTGCTTGGAGCTCAAGGCACCACAGAAGGGCCAGGCCAGGCCGAGCGGCCCAGCGTTTCAATCGGCAGACAAAAGAGCAGGCAGAAGAGATGTAATATGTACTATATCTCTAAATGAGAGCTTGACTCGACATTAAGGCTTGAAGATCTTGAAGTAATTGTTGGTCAGTCGAAAAACACATACACTTGGACACTTGGGGAAACAACACCACGCCCTGTTTTTTTGGGAGTGATGAATGCGGGGCACCGCAGGTTAGTGATTTCGAAGAATACAGCTTCAAGCCCAAGGCCAGAACACAAAAGAGCACAATGCCCCGTTGTTTTTGATGCTGAAGATGTCATTCCACTTAGCGCTGTTGATTTGTTTTGTAGCATTGCTGAAAATACTGACCTTTGTGCAGCTGGCAGGAGCTTCTGCAAATGATTGCTGAGATGTACGTCTTTGTTGCCCGAGCTGACAAAGAGAAGGTGCCAAGATAGGCTATATAATAGAGACAAAGCAAGAAAGCAAGAAAGAAGTCTATAAAGGCCGAAAAAGGAGAAAGACTGTTTTCCTTTTTTTAGGACAGGCATTATGACATTCTACAAAGCATGTTGAGTCCTGCTGGTCAATGACGGCTGTGATGCTGCAGGATCACGGCATGTTAATGAAAATTGGCAACAACTTGCAGCAACTTGGACTTGCCAGCTCCGCGAGCTTGTGGTAGTTGCTGACCAATGATCTAGCATGCCACTGAATGCAGACATAGCCTACGTCCAGAAAGCTCACAAAGGTTTTCTGAAGAAAGGATAATGCATTGGAATGCATAGAAATCCAGGGTTGTCAAATACCTTGCAGAGTTTCTCATGTTCCCAAGATGCTGGGGATTCAAACATATACACTTGAAAAAAATCAAGACAGCCCCACCCAAAAGAAGCGGCACTTGCCAACAAAAACAAGAGCACATGTTGGACTGCTTTGGAACACTCACCGCTGCTAGACAATTACATGAGCAAGCCCTCACAGCGGCAGATGCCATGTTTGTAACCCCGCGACGATTGGCTTCAGCCTTGACCACTGCTGTTCAGCAGGTGAAATCAGAGGCCAGTTTTGCATCACTTGCACTTCCCTTTGTCTCGTGATGTTTTTAGTTATTGTTTTTTCAACGCTGAGACAAAGCAGATTGCAGATCCAGACACAACTCAATCGAACATCGATCTGAACAGGTTCTCACCGCTTGCTTGCCAGATGCCTTTGCCACTGCACTTGGATCAAGCTCCGGGAGCTGGGCACCTGTACAACGGCAGGCCTCGGGTGCGGTCTCGGCTGCCTCAGCGACATTAACGGATGCTTGTAGTTATATATACTTTTTTGATTTGTGTGTGTGTGTGTGTTCAACTACTGCTATAGGAGTGAATGCCACAGAGCCTAAGGCAACATTTCTTTTGAAACTACCAGAGCTGTGCAACAGCGAAGGCGGAAGTGGCAAGGGCTTGGCCAAAGCATCCATTGGAAGAAGAGGAGCGAGGGTGGAACCAATCGCTACTTCTTGCTGAATGACTCGAGTAGCAATTGCTGAATACTGTAGTATATATAATATATAATTACTAATATATCATATGCATTAATTAAGTATTCATAGAGATCATCTCGCAACCGGAGGCACCTGATTTTGATTTTCACTCCAGGAGCGCCTGGCTTTGGCAGAAGCTTTCACTACATTGTCAGCCTCAAAGAGAGGTCGCGCTGTGTGTTCCCTGCTTCAGAGCTGCGATTTGCCTGAAACTACTTGAGTCTGGTCATATCCCACTATGCAGCTAAACGGCTTTCTTGTGCTTGCCTCGCAAAGAGCAAGAACAATCCTGCTGCTTGCTGAACTGTTGTTTTGCTCTTCCCAAGGTTCCAATGTCTTTTGGGCACTAGCACCGAACTCTTTGGAGTTCGAAATGATGGGACTGGCAGATGTGCTTTGGTAATAGGCGATGATGAGGCCGAGTTCTTAGACGGAGGACTTGTTCGTATTCTTTTGAAGAGAGGAAAAGTCCTGCAACGAACTCTTGAGAAAAAGACTGCATTTGACTGCAGCAGTATGTTTGTTGCCCGTGCTCTCAACGCTGCCAACTAACCTCTTCTTGACCCAGGCTGCAGCTTCGGAGGTCACTGCCGCACTGCTCCGAGGATACGCAGTGACCTGGGCATCGGAGCAGAACTTAGACACTTGGTCAACTCGATCAAGTCGATGTGGCCGTGGGTCAACCACAAAACACAAGAATGGGTCGGCCTGACCTCCTTTTTTCCAACTGTTTTTGTTTCTCTTTTGGGGGCAGTTGACCAATGTTAACCAGGGTGCCAGCGATTTGACAATCATATCGTCGTGAGTGTGCCGCAGTTTGGTCACTTGGACCCCAGACTCCCTAGACCTGAACCTCGAACGAACCAGGCAAGTTACTCCCAATCAGCCCCAGTCAACCTCCACGCCAAGGAAGGCTTTCCACCAGAGTTGTTGCAAAGCGTAGAGGCGCTCCGCAGCTGTTCAAGGAGACTTCCTTATTGCGTGACGGTTTTCAAACTCCTTTGGCAAGATTTACATTGCAAGTCAATTTGCTGGATGGGGCAAGTTCCCAAGGGGTTGATGTCTAGAAGATTTGCAAGGGTGCCAATGTTCACTCATTTGAAGATGCGCCACTGAGCCTTTTTATTCAAAGTCCTTGCGACGCAGGCTGGACCAATCGCTGACCTGCCTGACGTGCAGATGCTGCGTCTTCTGGGTTATTCCCCAGCGTTATGGATGAAGACTCATGCGTTGCCCAATGACTTTGGTGGATGGGAGGCTGGTCTTAAGCCACAGCCTCACGGCATGGCTGGGCTGGATGCAATGGCACTAGCCAGGACCAACTTGGAGGCTGGAGAGGGTTGCATTGCAGACAGTGCAGAAACCGCAATGATTCAATGATGGGACTGGCTCTCAGCAACTACAGTATCCACAAACTGCGCTTTCAAATTAGTGGCAATCCAAAGCCATCGGAAGCCGTACCCGGCTGTTCAACCTGAAGTGACCGTTACCGGGCAGGTGCTCTCCAAGCTGCCGCGGTCGGACCACCATTTCACACAGGAGCTTGAAACCAATTGAAACCCCAAATTTTTTGTGTGAAGTGTGAAGGCAACAACCAACAAATCTAACTCTAAATTTTGGCACTGAGTGGAAGTTGGTTCTTTTCCATCATCGAAAGGAAGCCTACGACCTGTCTGCACTGCTCTCAACAGTGACGCCACCAAGTGTGGATGTTCCGACTGTTCCAGGCAAGCGATGTCCTCATAGTCATAGTTGTGTGGAAAGAAAAAAAGAAAAACCACATTAATTGCACTCAGCCTGTGTGGTGGGCACTCAACCGAAAAGGTCCTTCCTTGTGCGTGACCAGATTCAGAAGAATGCTTGATGTGGAAGAAATTGGATTTGCCACCTCGATGGGAGGTCTTCCACCACCTCGATGGGCCCGCAGCGCCTACGACCGCGGTCTGGAAGAAATTCACGACCTTCTGGATCTCTTGTGGGGTTTCAGTGCTCTCCTGAGGAAGACATGTCGATATGTTTGCAAGTTAAATCTGTCCCCCGCAGCGGGGGAAGTGACCCTGGCCCTGGCGAAATGATGGTCAGACCATTGGTCTCAACTTGGCCTCTAGGTTTCCTTTAAGAGACCTTTGGTCAACTTTGGTCTTTTGTACAGCTTGAACCTGTCCAGGTGCAGGCTCAGACTCAGTGAGTTTGGGTGGCGCATCCAAGCACTTCTTGCTTACCAGTGGAGAGCTTCCAGAGGAGGTAGTGATGCTTGGTCTAAAGCTCGGACAGCAGACTTGGAGGCTGGATGAAACTAGCTAGACCCCGCTTAGGCTTGCACTTTTGTTGTTATGCGTCATGCCCAGCACTCTTGCTTTGGTCCTTCTGAATCCCTACATGAGGAAAGCTGCGGTATTGACAACCCTCAGTCTCTTGGCAGCATTCTATAACATACCACGCCAAAAGATAATCGAATTCATTGAAATCCATATCAACCTCGTCCATGTACTTCTTTGGATCACAGTCATGGCATAACGGTCATACTAGCCACACCTGGTGATAATGTCAGTGACATGGTATCTTTCGGGGCGACGAGGACAGGTCACCCGAAGGCATTAAAGCATATCGGATCTTTTCGGTGGAGACATGGAACACCGAAAGCCTGAGTTTGGGACACCCGGTTGAACTCATTCCACTCTTCACCGAAAGGGCCTGCTCGGACGGGAAGTTTGCGAGGCCCTTTCTATGAGCCTGTTTCGCTCCATGTGGTGGGCCTGGGCCCAGATGCCTTGAGCAAGGATCCTCAGCGTGGCTTTGCTAGACTGGTGGAGTCAGGCAAAGAGAACTTACAATGGCACTTGCTGCTTGGCTTGACCTTCCAACCATACATACATGATCATATGTACATGTACAGTAACAATTTTGCAATCATTGGACGTTCACCCCGTTTGCTCTCGCACAACAACCTTCTCGTGTTTCTTTGATCGTTTGAGGCTAGAGCATGAGTCAGCAGATTCCTTCTTGGACTGGCTGCGACAGTTCAACCATCCGAGCCCACCAATTCTCTTTGGCACCCTTTGGGGTCACGAAGAGGCGCATTGGAGCTTGCTTGCACCTGACAAATGAGCACGACAGCTCCTGCTCAAAAACTGACGATTGGATCGAAACAACTTGTAGATTATCCAGCACAGCAAAGATAGACAAGAGACATCTGAAAAGGGATTGTCTGTAAGCGGTAAAAATAGAGTAAAACCAGCCAAACTGCTGTGAAGCTCACCCAGGCTGTTTTCTTTTTGCTCGGCAAACTAATCAAATGCTTTGAAGTTTTGGTTCATTCTTACCAAGTCCGCCAGGAACTGCGTCGAAGTGTGGCAGTTGCAGGAGGTGCAAACTGGCAGGAGCCACAGAACTTGTAACTAGCTTGTCAGCGTGGTCCCATTGCCATATTTCAATAGCCCTTGTTACTAGTAGCTTCTTGTTCCTAGTAGTGATGCCAGGAGCTACTAGTAGCGTCCTTGCTCCTAGTAGTAATG